AATACAGTAATAAACTTCTGAAGGACAGATAAGGCTTCTCAAAGAAAGTGCCATTTAAGTTGAGATATGGATAAGCCCAAGGTAAGCAATGATGACGAGGGATTAAAAAAGGCTGAGAGCCTATCAGGCAAGTGGCAAAGTACGAACAACGTCCTGAAGTGGGGCAGAAACACAGCTCACAAGAGCAGTGGTCTCCACATTTTATTTTGATCATGTATAATTGGATAAAAAATTTTGACCACACTACAATGTTGTTTGTTGTTTGTGTATTTATTCATAAATAGTATATATACACTATTTTATTTATATTATGTGTATAATACAAAAATAACAAAAATACAAATGTTTAAATGTTAACATGAATGGTACAGGAGCCTTTCCACTCTCTCAAAAAATCAGCAGTATTAATTTGTAATTTAATTCAGCACTGTTTTTTTTTTTAACAGTTTTTATTGATTTATAACCATTTTACAATGTTGTGTCAAATTCCAGTGTTCAGCACAATTTTTCAGTCATACATGGACATATACAAACTCATTGCCACATTTTTTTCTCTGTGAGCTACCATAACATTTTGTGTATATTTCCCTGTGCTATACAGTATAATCTTGTTTATCTATTCTACAATTTTGAAATCCCAGTCTATCCCTTCCCACCCTTTGCCCACCCCCGGCAACCACAAGTCTGTATTCTCTATGAGTCTATTTCTGTCCCGTATTTACATTTTTGTTTGTTTGTTTTGGTTTTTTGATTTTTTAGAGTCCACGTATGAGCGGTCTCATATGGTATTTTTATTTCTCTTTCTGACTTACTTCACTTAGAATGACATTCTCCAGGAGCATCCATGTTGCTGCAAATGGCGTTATGTTGTCGGTTTTTATGGCTGAGTAGTATTCCATTGTATAACTATACCACTACTTTATCCAGTCACCTGTTGATGGACATTTAGGCTGTTTCCATGTTTTGGCTATTGTAAATAGTGCTGCTATGAACATTGGGGTGCAGGTGTCATCCTGAAGTAGGGTTCCTTCTGGATACAAGCCCAGGAGTGGGATTCCTGTAGGAGGTTTATTGTAACTTGTCTTATGTTTAAGTCTTTGATCCATTTTGAATTGATTTTTGTATGTGGTGTAAGGGAGTGTTCTAGCTTCATTGCTTTACATGCTGCTGTCCAGTTTTCCCAACACCATTTGCTGAAGAGACTGTCTTTATTCCATTGTATATTCTTGCCTCCTTTGTCGAAGATTAGTTGACCAAAGGTTTGTGGGTTCATTTCTGGGCTCTCTATTCTGTTCCATTGGTCCATATGTCTGTTTTGGTACCAATACCTTGCTATCTTGATGACTGTAGCTCTATAGTATTGTCTGAAGTCTGGGAGAGTTATTCCTCCAGCCTCTTTCTCTCTCTTCAGTAAAGCTTTGTCAATTCTAGGTCTTTGATGGTTCCATATAAATTTTATTATGATTTGTTCTAGTTCTGTGAAATATGTCCTGGGTAATTTGATAGGAATTTCATTAAATCTGTAGATTGCCTTGGGCAGCATGACCATTTTAACAGTATTGATTTTTCCAATCCAAGAGCATGGGATATCTTTCCATTTTTTAAAGTCTTCTTTAATTTCCTTCATCAATGGTTTATAGTTTTCTGTGTATAATTCTTTCACCTCCTCGGTTAGATTTATTCCCAGATATTTTATTACTTTGGGTGGTATTTTAAAGGGGATTGTTTACTTTCTTTTTCTGTTGATTCATCATTAGTATAAAGAAATGCAACTGACTTTTGAATGTTAATTTTATAACCTGCTACATTGCTGAATTTGTCAATCAGCCCTAGTAGTTTCTTCATGTACCTTTTAGGGTTTTCTATATATAGTAACATGTCATCGGCATATAGGGGCACTTTTACCTCTTCTTTTCCAATTTGGATCCCTTTTATTTCTCTCTCTTGCCTGATTGCTGTGGCTAGGACTTCCAGGACTATGTTGAATAGGACTGGTGATAGTGGGCAGCCTTGTCTTGTCCCAGATTTTAGTGGGAAGCTTTTGAGTTTTTCACCATTGAGTACTATGCTGGCTGTAGGTTTGTCATATATAGCTTTTATTATGTTGAGATATGTTCCCTCTATACCCACTTTGGCAAGAGTTTTTTATCATAAATGGGTGTTGAATTTTATCAAATGCTTTTTGGCATCGATTGAGATGATCATGTGGTTTTTGTCCTTTCTCTTGTTGATGTGATGTATTACACTGATTGATTTGCGTATGTTGAACCAGCCTTGTGTCCCTGGGATGAACCCCACTTGGTCATGATGTATAATCTTTTTTATGTGTTGTTGGATTCTATTAGCTAAAATTTTGTTGAGGAATTTGGCATCTATGTTCATCAGTGATATTGGCCTATAATTCTCTTTTTTGGTAGTGTCTTTGCCTGGTTTTGGTATCAGGGTGATGGTGGCTTCATAGAATGAGTTTGGGAGTAGTCCCTCCTTTTCTATCGTCTGGAAGAGTTTGAGAAGGACTGGTATGATCTTCATTGTATGTTTGGTAGAAGTCCCTGGTGAAGCTGTCCAGTCCTGGACTTTTATTTGTAGGGAGGTTTTTAATTGCTATTTCTATTTCCTTTCTAGTGATCGGATTGTTCAAGTGGTCAGTTTCTTCTTGATTCAGTCTTGGTGGACAGTATGTTTTCAGAAACTTCTCCATCTCCTCTAGGTTATCCAGTTTGGTTCCATATAGTTTTTCATAATATTCTCGTATGGTATTCTGTATTTCTAATTTATTTGTAATTTCTCTATTTTCCTTTCTTATTTTGCTAATTTGTGCTCTCTCTTTTTTCTTCTTTGTGAGTTTGGCCAGAGGTTTGTCGATTTTTATTTACTTTTTCAAAAAAACCAGCTTTTGGTTTGGTTGATTTTTTTCATGGTCTTGTTACTCTCTATTGTATTTATTTCCTCTCTGATCTTTATTATTTT